GAGTTGGAGTTGGCTCTAGACTGGTTGGCTATCACCTGGTTGGGATGTCACAACGGATTGTATTGGTGGTTATCTTCCGTGAGGCGTGAGGCACATGCTTCTTTTTTAAGGGTGGAGGTCATCGACTCCCAGGTTCATTCCCTTCAAAAGTCTTTGGGCTTTTTTTGCCTTTAACATGCTAATCAACCCTTTCACATCTCCCGAGGTGGTTGGCGCCATATGTATCAGATCCGCGCGCCTGATTTCCAACGAGGACCACCGCCTACCCCAACGGGTGGCTCAGTGGTTACCAGCGGTGGTCCTCTAAAGCCCGGGTAGTAGTTCGCCTCCTTCCAATATCCACAGGTTGTAGGTTCGAGCCCCCGGGGTTTCGGAGCAAATCCCTAGTAACCGGACCACCCTCACTCTCCCAGGCAGCTGACTTAACGCACCTAACTGGTACCCAATTGAGAGGGGGGCTGGCCGGTGAGCTTCTGCTATTCTTTTGGACTAGGCTGCCTGCTTTTTTCTCAGCCACTTTTTGTTTATTTTGTTATCTTGTTTACTTGGCATCTACCATCACCACCCGGGATTTCGAGGTTACCCACCCACCGTTCCTAGAACACACGCCCCTTTTTGAACTTTAAAGTGTGGAACATGTGTTGGTACTTTGTACCACCGCTCGCTTGGAACCGAGCGGCCATAGACGTCGGGTATTCGACTGCCGGTATCCGGATCTGCGAGCGGTAGTAAGGTAGCACGGAGCGGAGATGTCTCCCAGTAACCCCGAATACTGCCCGAGCACTATGGCTAAATGGCGGGACGACCCTATCCCCTCCAGTCTCTTTCGTCGAGCTGTCTCACTCAGTTGCTCCAATTGATGGACTGCAGTTACCGCGGGCCGTTTGTGTTGACCCCGCGGGGATGGGACCTGGCTGCGATCTGCCGGAGCGGAAGTGGTGCTGGCTCCACGCCAGTTCACCTCATGATCACTTTAGATAAGTGAGCGGGCGACACACTCGGATTGTCTTTCGGGCTCACAACCTGCCCACACCCAACCAAGTCAAGCCATGAACTAACCCCCCAAACCTTTGCACCACCACACCACCACACCACCACCACCATGATCACCACCACCACCCTCCTCCTCCCCCTCCTCCTGCTTGCCACCCCCCCGGCAACCCACGCCCGCCGACACCCCCTTCCTCGGCTACCCCTCCCCCTGGGCCTCACCCACCCCACCCAACCCTGGCAGTACCCCCGACCCCGCAGAGGACAAGTCCTGGGCCGAAGCCTACGCCCAAGCCGTGGCCTTTGTCGCTGACCTGACCCTCACGGAAAAGGTCAACCTCACGACGGGGACTGGGTGGGAGGCGGATCGGTGTATTGGGAATACGGGGGGTGTGCCGAGGGTGGGGTTTCGGGGGCTGTGTTTGGAGGATGGGCCGTTGGGGGTGAGGAATAGTGAGTTTGTGTTTTTTTTGCTCTTTTTTTTTTCTCTTTTTTTTTTTTTTTTTTTCTGGTTGTTTTTTTTGGGTTTGTTGCTGGGGGTGGTGGTGGGTTGGTTGGTTGGGGGGATGATGCGTGGATGTGAGCTAACTGTGGTGATCAGCCCAGAATAACTCGGCTTTTCCTGCTGGCATTAATGTCGCTGCTACCTTCAGCCGTCGGTTGATGCGTCTGCGGGGGGAGGCTATTGGCGCCGAGTTCAGGGGGAAGGGCATCGATGTTATGCTGGGGCCGGCGTCAGGGCCGTTGGGGAGAGTGCCGCAGGGGGGGAGGAACTGGGAGGGATTTGGGTATGTTTATCCCGATATCTATTAACTGGTCAAACAAGGTGTATGGTGCTGATGATTAAGTCCCGACCCCTATCTCGCTGGCGTCGCCATGGCCGAGTCCATCCAGGGCATCCAGAGCCGTGGTGTGGTGGCCTGCGCGAAGCACTACATCCTCAACGAGCAGGAACACTACCGGGGAAGTATCGACGTGCGGATTGATGACAAGACTATGCACGAGCTCTACCTCTGGCCGTTTGCCGACGCTGTCAGGGCAGGCGTCGGCTCCGTCATGTGCTCGTACAACAAGATCAACGGGACGTATTCGTGCGAGAATGAGTGGACCACCAACTACCTGCTCAAGAACGAGCTGGGGTTTCAAGGGTTTGGTGAGTGTGACCCGTCAGGGATAACGGAAAAACCTGCTAACCGATAAAGTCATGTCGGACTGGGGAGCCCAACACACTACCCTCGGCTCAGCACTCGGCGGCCTTGACATGGCCATGCCCGGTGACGGCGGCCCCAAACCCTACGGGGCACTATGGGGGGGCGGCCTTACCGAAGCAGTCCTCAAGGGTGACATACCCCAATGGCGGCTTGATGACATGGTGGTCCGCATCATGGCGGCCTACTTCAAAGTCCACGCCGGCAACTACACCTCCCGCCCAGACATCAACTTCTCCGCGTGGACCAACCAGACCACCGGCCCCTTACACCCCTCCTCCAACCAATCCATCACCACCGTCAACGAGTTCGTCGACGTCCAGGCCGACCACGCCGCCCTGATCCGCGAAATCGGCGCCAAATCCATCGTCCTCCTCAAAAACACCAACAACATCCTCCCCCTCTCCGCACCCCCCAGCATCGCCGTCATCGGCGACGACGCCCAAGACCCCCCCAACGGCCCCAACGCCTGCCCCGACCGCGGCTGCTTCGGCGGGCCCGGCACCATCGCCATGGGCTATGGCTCCGGCACCGCCGACTTCCCCTACCTCATCTCCCCGGCCACCGCCCTCCTGCACCAATCCCGCCTCACCAACACCACCTTCCACAACACCACCTCCAACTGGGACCTCCCCACCGCCCAAGCCCTCGCCTCCACCGCCCACACCGCCATCGTCTTCGCCGCCGCCACCTCGGGCGAGAACTACCTCACCGTGGCCTCCAACGCCGGCGACCGCAACAACCTCACCCTCTGGGGCAACGGCGACGCGCTGATCGCCGCCGTCGCCGCCGTCAACCGCCACACCATCGTGGTGCTGCACACCCCGGGCCCCGTACTCCTCTCCTCCATCGCCGACCACCCCAACGTCTCGGCCATCCTGTGGGCGGGGTTCCCCGGGCAGGAGTCGGGCGCCGCGCTGGTGGATGTGCTGTATGGGCGGGTGGCGCCGCAGGGGCGGAGTCCGTTTACGTGGGCGACGGAGGAGGCGGATTATGGGGAGGGGTGGTTGTTACGGGAGGCGGGGGATCCGAGGAGGGCGGTGCAGACGTTTGGGGAGGGCGTGTTTGTGGATTATAGGTGGTTTCAGAAGGGGGGGAGGGGCGTGGTGTATCCGTTTGGGTTTGGGTTGGGGTATACGAGGTTTGGGTATGCGAATTTGACGGTGGCGAGGAGGGAGGAGGTGGTGGGGCCGGTGTTGGGGGCGCCTGAGGGGGTGACGGGGCCGGCGCCGGTGTTTGGGGTTGTGGAGGAGGGGTTGGGGAAACATGTGGCGCCGGAGGGGTTTGGGAGGATATCGCCGTATGTGTATTCGTGGTTGAATAATAGTGAAGAGTTTGTTGCTGGGGGGGCTGGGAATGTTAGCGATTTCCCGGCCCCGGCGAGGGATGGTTCGGCCCAGCCTTTTCTGCCTGCTTCAGGGGCGCCGGGGGGAAACCCGGGGCTCTATGAGGTTTTGTATACGATTACTGCGCGTATTACAAACCAGGGCAAGGTGAAGGGGACTGAGATACCTCAGCTGGTACGTTTGTTTACTTTCTACCCCCGAGTCAGTGACCAGGATGGGATGAACCGCTGACACTGACACAACCACAGTTCGTCCAACTCGGTGGCGAAGACAACCCCTGGGGTATTCTCCGCGGCTTTGACGAGGTTGAGCTTGAGCCGGGAGAGACCAAGACGGTCACGTTCAACCTGACGCGGAGGGATGTCAGCAACTGGAACACGACCACGCAGAACTGGGAGATCACCGACAGGGAGAAGGTTGTCTTTGTGGGCTCCAACGTACGGGATATCCACCTGAACTCGTCACTGCCAGCGCCGGTCGGGATGACATGGAAGCACGGCTGAGGGGTGTTTGGTAGCACCATCAACTGAACTGAGCATTCAGATATAACAACCGACCGAACTACTTCATAATGGTATCTCATCGCAGCCGCTAGACAACCGGGCGTTCCAGTCCCAACCCAAACCATGCTCATCATTGATATCGCTCATTAAGTTACCCGCTCGGCTCATAAACATCCCGTCTACCCGGGACTTAATAAGTGTAGCGGAATCCAGGCTCGTAGTTATCATCCTGCAACCATGTCAGCACAAGCCCAACCCCTACCCGGATCACAGAAAGACTTACCGCATCACACTCGAGCTCCCTCTCGCCCCGATCAGCCTTCTTGTTAAGGCGGTAAAAGTCAAGCGAAAGCGCGCCCACCATAAGCATGGTCAGGAGCGTGGTGGCGATGCAGGCGTACAGGCCCGGGCGGTAGCCCGGCATATCCTGGTCGCGGAAGACGAGACTGCCGGCGATACCGCCGATGCCGCCAAACGAGACGAAGGTGGCGCTGCAGAAGGCGCGCTTCCACTGGCCGCGGATGTTGTTCGCCTGGTACGACATGGCGGCGGGCACGTTGGCATTGGCGCCGGCGGTGACGAGGAAGACGCCGAAGTAGCGGACGCCGGCGTTCGTGTGGAAGCCCATGATCGGGAGGCCGATGATGCACAGTAGGCAGTTGAAGATGATGATGGGTCCGCGCAGCCGGTACTTGTCGCCCGCCCAGCCCGTGGCGTACATGATGATACCGGCGAACGCGTAGGGGGGCGCCACGAGGCACTGCGCCTCGCCGACACTGAAACCCATGCTCCCCCTGAGGATGATGGGCAGGAAGTAGGCGAGCGCGTAGGTGACGGTTGTGGTGTTGAAGAAGATCATGGCGTACGCCCACACCTTGATGTCGGTGCCAGCGCGAAGATACTTGGCCAGTGAGAAGGGCTGCGGCTTGACGTCTCCACGATCGGCGTCGACACGAGCGCACACCCTAAGCGTCCATCGTCAGTGGCAGAACGAACACAAAGGGCTCCCGGATCGTGTTAGCAACTCACCACTCCTTTTCCCGAGCTGAGAGGAAGCTCCAGCTCTTGCGCTTTGCGTCGGGGAAATCAACCAGAAGCCAGTATCCAACAAAACCAAGCAGCACGGTTATGATACCCTCGATAATGAAGATCCAGCGCCAGCCGTTGAGGCCAGCCAGACCCCCCATCTGCATGAGCTGCTCGCGTGTTAGTGGATATGATGGCCTCGAGAACCACGAAGGAGGCTACCCACTCCGAAAGCCAGGATACCGGCAAAGGCAGAAGCGACACAGCCGACCAAGTAAAACACCGAGTTCCGCTTGCCAACCTCGTCTATTTAATGTCAGCCAACCACTCCCCTTTCCTCTACCCCCCCCCCCCCCCCCCCCCGGGGGGTTTTTACGTTTTGTGTACCCAGTGGGCAGCAGGGTAACCCCGGGCGAGGAAAAGCCTAACTCATGAGTTAGGCACCAGTGGTCCCTCCCCCCTCGAGGGGGGGTAGAATTAAGGTTTACAAAAAAACCCAGGAAGAAAGTCCACCCTTTGTCCCTAGTCTATGTTATCGAAAATCCCATTCCATTCTTGGAGGGCGCGCCAGAGAATGCATGTGAACACCCATAAGAATTCCGCGCCCCATTTTTTCGCATCATGACTGGTTGGATGG